ATAAATTGTAAAAGATCAATGGACAGGGTAACCAGCCCCAAACTCACGATCTTCCTGTATAAATTGTAAAAGATCAATGGACAGGGTAACCAGTCCCAACTCACGATCTTCCTGTATAAATTGTAAAAGATCAATGACAGGGTAACCAGCCCCAAACTCACGATCTTCCTGTATAAATTGTAAAAGATCAATGGACAGGGTAACCAGCCCCAAACTCACGATCTTCCTGTATAAATGGTAACAAGATCAATGGACAGGGTAACCAGCCCCAAACTTACGATCTTCCTGTATTAATGGTAAAAAGATCAATGGACAGGGTAACTAGCCCCAACTCATGATCTTCCTGTATGAATGGTAAAAAGATCAATGGACAGGGTAACCAGCCTCAAACTCACGATCTTCCTTTATGAATGGTAAAAAGATCAATGGAAGGGTAACTAGCCCCAAACTCACGATCTTTTGAGAAATAAGTAGACCTTTATACCTTATATCTACTCTTATGGTGATACTAAACTTGTGATTGTTTACACAAGTCCTTACACATGAAAGTGTGTTTGTTTCAAATCTTGTAAGGGTTATGAATAATCTTTCACTCATTCCTTGGAGTCTGATACTTTAAAGTTCCTTTCTATTTTCATTACTTTGATTGTTTGTATTAAACCAAGTAAATAGTCAGTGCTGACCAAATAGACGACGCAATACCTTCCCAGAACTGTAATGTTCTAACGTTCTATTCTACCCACAGAGATGAAGTATAGACGCTGGAACATCAAATCCTGACGAGGACGTCAGGGTGTCAGGAGAGGCCGGGGGATAACGCCATTTGTAGCAGAAACCTATTAGCGTGGCACACGTTGACTTACTTTTTATTTCTAGACTTCGTGGAGGGCTTGTTGCTAACCTAACCTCGGTAGATTTTAAAAGTCAAAGTACCTACACGTTCTTATTTTTATGTTTCCTAATAATACTATATCATCTATACATTCTATCGTCACATAGAAACCAAAAAAGTACTTTCTTCAGATGCAATTAAATCGTATTTTAATGGTTATTAAGGGATCCTCACTTAACGAGCTTTTAAATTTAAATTAGAGTCAACGATAGTGCTACCAACGCTACCGCATTGAACTTATCAAAACACCATTACGAGCTACTGAGATGGGTTATCTATACTAATTAATAAAATATATTCATGAATAAACATGGACTATCTTGAATGTACTTTAAAGAATTTACCTATGTATAGAAAAATGTTAGTATGCGTAGTGGGTAGGTTCAGTGTAAACGCCGCTCTAAGTACGACTAACGTATGTTTAAATAATGGATTTTAGCATACTAAACGCTTAGACCAGTGACGGAGTTACCAGCAGGCTGGATAGGAGTAGTAAATTTGCCCCAAAATTGTTGCCTAAAAAAAAAAATTATATGCTCAGACTATAAATTTCACTAAATCATTCTAAGTGATCTAAAATTATCATGATTCATGTGCACTTGTTCTTTTTCATGTGTCCTTTTTATAAATATACAAAGCCCTCGTTAAACGAAAATTAATCAACAAAGCTTTTTATAAATTTGAGGACTACTTAAATGATCCTAATCCTTGGGATTGAATTGATCCAGTTCAAACAATTTGTATGACAATACTTGGCGATTAAAAACAGTGGCGGAAAGTTTCTTGCCAGTTCTTCTTACCCGTTCTACGCCCTTGACTTGCGAACTGGTAGTAAATGTAAATTTACGATTAATTTAACTTGACGATTCAAAAGTGTACTTGGTTACCCACTTGAATAAAGATATTTTGAGTTTGAGTTTGAGTTTATATTGTAACGTTCACTGTTTATAATATAAATTATATGTTATGTTATTATATACATATATTATATGTTTAATGGCTTTTTTTGATCCTTTCGTTTTGTCTATATGTCTTATGAACTTTTGCACTTCTTGAGCTTGTCTTACGTATTTTTTTTCCTCTCGTTGGTTGCCTGGAAGAGATCGCTCGAAAGCGATAAAGCCGACAGTTGCCCTCCTTTTCATTAAATTATATCAACTGTATTATATTTATGTATGCAACGAAGTGTTAATAGATAATTAGATCGTGAGTTGTAAAATTAACCTAGAAACTGACACAAGAATCATACTGACAACGGAAGGATAAAGATGAAGTATAAATCGTAAGCAATTTAATAGCAGAAGTTAGTTGAGACGGCAAAAATTTAATAGCCTAGGCGGCAAGCGGCTACTATCATCTGTATATTCCTCAGGCTTTGCTCACCGAGTGAGTTCTTGCTCAATATAATTTTAGTATTGGAATTAAGTATAATTGTTATCAATTTTAAGCATATTCTATCTTTGACCATATCTTCATAATCAAGTATTCAAAAGCAGTCTGTTCACGCTCACACACCAATGGTCGCATAACATAAAAAATATAAAAATTATAGTAACTCGATATGCATTATCTCTTCGTGGGATTAGATGACACTATCCCATAAGATAATCTTCAACGAAAACTATACCTTATGCAAACAAGATTTGGTTCAAATTTCATTGATTATACACTCACGAAAATGCATTGTAAAAGCTTTTGTACGCAATAAGAATAGAATTCAAAATACAATGACAGGTTATCACGATGTAAAAATGCAGACTTTCCAGTTTAGAGAATGTACATTCCAAACTTTAATACTTTGAAAATAAGGTTGGAACTTGAATGGAACATGTAAATCATCTTTCAGCCCGGCGGTCTTGTATGGAAATTTTGGAAATATTAATAAGCAATAAGAGAATTTACACGGACTTGGTAGGTGGCAGTGACAATATCCTATGGACTTTAGTATTAATATTGATTTAGTGTGGATTCTCTACCGAGTTTCACAGCAGAAGCACAAGGAATAAAAGCGATGGGCTTCATCATACTTAGCTCAAAGTCTCGACTCTGAGTTTCACCCTGAAACCTAGGCGTACATACGAATTTAACAATTAGTAAAACAAACTTACTTGTGATAGATTCGAATAGCGAAACGCTTTCAGAGAACGAAAATGTAGTACTATTATTTTTATAGAAAGTTCCATCGTAGTTGAATAATAATTTGTAATCAGACGATTCGGATGTAGTTGTAGATACGCCTGAGAACTTTACTTCGGAAGTGAAACCTTATTTCCCTTGAAATATGTTTTGTAACCTCTTGTGATAGGTTTCTTTATCCTGTCTCCTGTTTGATACACTTTTTAAAACAGTTTTTTATTGTTTAAACTAATTTAATTTGACTTTTAAAGGATAAGTTAATTACGCATCTGTCGAACGCTATAACACTTGTCCGTATTATCCGTTCGATACCCGGCGAAACAATATTACAGACTACTAATACTTAAGCTACAGGCTAACAGTACCATGATTAATACGTTATTAACTTTTTACTGTAATAAAGATAAACGTAACGTTAATTCTCTTCTAACGACGCAAAAACGAATTCACACGCGGGAATAGGCACATCTATTTTAATGAGAAATTTATTAGAAAAACTGATACGAGTAGTATGGAAAATTATGAAAAGTAGTCTTCCGAGCTATGATATTAATGAATGAACCAGAGATACAAGCTTTTCATTGCAATCCAGCCATGAGGAAGACATATTAATGCCTCAGTGCATTAACCAATGTTCAAGGTACAAAAAACATCGGGGAATTCAAATAAAGACTTCTAAGCCATCATTAGGCTACAATACAAATTTTTGAGGCACGGTTGAATGTACGGTGTACTCTTTATACCCACTCATGTATCCGACCTTATTTATTCTTGGTTCTGTGGGCTACCACGAGCTTAGAGTACGCCGAGAATTCGCGCTTGTGATGTTCTTATTAAATTTATTACATGGGGAGGGCAGTATCTCAGTAGTATTACAGTGCCTTAGCTTCAGTGTACCTGGGCACGTCAGAATAGAGAAGAAACTAACCTTCTGAAAAGAGTACATATGATTCACTGTATGACTTTAGTTAACGAATTACTGGTTAACGGAGCTTTTTTAGTCTCCGTTGAGTGGGAAAAGTTTAGTCAGTCAATTTATTATGTAATGTTGTTTTTCCTTAATAATTTCTTATGTTTGTTTTTTGTTTCGTGTGTATTTTTTTCTATTGGTGTTTCTTGTCAATTTAGAACCAATAGGATTTTGTTTTTTATAAATAAAATAATTGTGTGTCATAAACAATTTTCAAGGTTAGGTTTGTATGTACAAAAAACATCGGGGAATACAACACAAGACCTCCAAGCCACTAAGGCACAAAACGTACATGACTGTTAAGAAGTAATCCCTCAAAAAGTACAACGACCTGACAATAGCCAGACAGCGGTCGAGCGTCGACCTCTTGACGACTTATTTAGTAATTAACACCCAATAGATGTAAAAAACACCAGATGGATGTAATTATCCCATTCGATTCCTTTTATATTGTGAGAACACTTGTGACGCAAGTCTGATGTAAGATTATTCTAAGAATCATTTAGGTCTTCAAGACTTTAATTTAAATTTGGAATGGGTTGAATTTTGCGGAACACAAAAAGCTCCAAATAAGATTAGTGTTATTATATTTTCTATTCTAGTTTATAAATCGTCTTTTTCAAAAGACGAAAGTTTTAGAAGTCACCAAGGCGAATTTATTTGCGGACCATACTAGCTTAAGTTAAGGAAAGTTAGAGCAAGCTAACAATGCTAAAAAACTCTCTGTAACTTGTATATCCGATACTGCAGTAAACACTGTACTATGATCAAGAATATTCGAAATTTAAATTATTTTACTTCAAAGCACACTAGTCAAGTTTATAAAGGTTTAATTGATGTTTTTGATTATTTATTTTAAAAGTTAGTGGAACAAGGCGAGGTTATTTACGGACCATATTAGCTTGAATTAAGAAAACTTCGAGCAAGCTAACAATGCTAAAAAACTCTCTGCAGTAAACACTGTACTATAATCAAGAAGATTCGAAATTTAAATTATCTTACCTCAAAGCACACTCGTCCACATCAGTCTCGCACAGTGTTCCCGAAAACGTTGGAGGACATTCGCAGGTGTACGAGTTCAGTCCATCGAGACACGTTGCGCCATTTTGGCACAAATGTCCCGGGCAGTCGTCAATATCAATCTCGCAGTTCTGCCCACGGTAACCTGTAATAATATCCGCAATTAATTTTGTGTAGCTACTTTTTGTAGAAGTCTGTAGAAGCACCCAGCTTTTACCCTAGTTTTAGAAAGGTCAAGAACTAAATAAAAGGATCTTTAATATCTCTTTTCAGCATTCCAGGCGAAGGATAATACAAGGACCATGCAGCAACACGCTGAATTTTTAAACTATATTATTGCTTCCTTCTTTAAGTCTATATGACCATGATAAACTTAAAAACCACTAAACAGTTTACACCAATAGATAGTCTGGTTCTTGAGGAAGATTTATGTGTATGATTCATTATTGATGTACGTAAATTGACTGAAACGTAGCGATTTTCGTCGAGAGAAAGATTCTGTCATAATAATTAAAATCTACGGAAGCTGGTAGTATTTTATGTCAACCAAACTACTTAATGTCTATCAGTAATACATAAAAGCGTCAAGAAAAATATGCCTATAACCCCTTACAGACACTTTCACTTAATCTGGTCCATTCATTAGCCTACGAAGTACTAATTAACGGACAAAACTAACAGAGAAGTTCCCACGAACACATGTGTTACGCTTTAAATCTATCGGCGCCTGAGTGACGTCATGTGGCGTTTATTGTAAAAATACTTGTCAAAATGTGTTTTAACAGATTGCGAAGGGACGCTATTTTAGTTACTATGCTCTGTTAGCAATACAATTTTGTTAAAAGTTTAATTCATTAATCTAAATAATTGATGTCACCTGGATTTGGTCCCGAAAAACATTAACAATAATTAAATTATTTCCAGAACGGCCACGCCCTTTGCCTTTATTGTAATTTTCTGGACTGTACTATCGCGGACATCCCGAAATAATTAAAACACAAAAAAATAATCAACGGCTCAAATCTAAGTCTTTTCTCCAAATTTTTCCTATCGGAATAGATACTCTAGGGCCGTGGGGTTAAGTTGGCGCCTGAGAGACCCCAGAGCTGTTGCGTTCTCCCTCAACGAATAAGTATTGCAATACAGCGTGAAAATGATGCCAGCAAGACTGGGACCATTTATTACGTAAGCACTATTACGTAAGCACTATTGGGGTTTGGGGGAATGTTTATTGATTTCCTTATTTGGTGATAACGTCAACAATAATTATTTACTTTTTTAAACATATGACACATTGTCTATGTTTCTACAAAAAATTAAAACGTTTATGTACATTATTTTTGAGAGCTTACATTTGCTGACAAGAGTTGGGGGGGGATAAATTGCAGTAAATCTGCTTACGTAATACTTGTTTTAATTTCCCATTTATTAATTTTTAATTATGATTACTATTTAGGTTAAGAATTTAATCATCACACTTCTTTCTAGATTCGTTCTAATACTCTAAAGCTTTAGGAGCATTGAACAATAAGCGAAGCAAATAAATTCTGTCGCGACTAGCGAATTTTAGCATAAATTGACAGCTGATTAGTTAATTACGCTGACAAGTGCATAGAGCCGTAAATGGCATTATGGCAATTAATTGATTTTTGTATTTGGAACAAAAAAAATATTTGCATAATCTTTTAGATGTTTTCTAAATGGAAGGAGACAAAAATATATTAAGTATTAGCCTGTTTTATATAATCTACAACTTGGGAATTTTCGTAGCGACTCGTATTTAACCCAAATAATGTAATTCTTAAGAAGATTGGTTTCCCTTTCTTAAGGGTAATCTCGAAGACTCGAATATGTCAAAAATGCATTCGATGAAGGCTTACCAGCTTAAGGCTTTTAAGAATACAGCATATATTCGATGATAATTGTATGTGTATAAATTTAACGTAACCCGCTGAACATATATTGATGAAGATACGTTCTAAGTCCACATTGATTCTGTACAAACTTCATACAAAATGGCTGAACATTTATCTATGCAAACGTTTGGACAGTATCAATCGATTACCATACTGTGAGAGTTGTAACCCACACATTTCTCACGTCGAGTAAATAAAATTAATATACGAATATTTAGTGTTGTGCCATACAATCTGTCCCATACACCAATATATTTTTGTCGGTTTATATCGAATTGGATAGTAATTCCTATACGTAACCACTAAACCATACGGCTTTTGAAATCAATATAAATTGCCTATTAAGTTATTACAAAATTGCACAATTTAAGTGTTATTTCATTACATATAATAACTGTTGAAAATCGTCTCATCAAGGAAATAATGTCTCAAATTAAATCACACTTCAAAGGAATTTAGACTCTACTGGCTTACAATAAAGTCTTACGCAAGTTGATTGTATTTTTTGGATCATTTTGGCAAGTCAAAGGTCATGCTCTCTCTTGTAATTCATGGCTTATACGCTTTTATCATATACCAGACATCTTGGAATAAGTTTACGCAATTTAGACTTACATAAAACCTTGCGATCCACGGCTTTTCACAAGTGGAAATTTTTTGTACGTGCGCATTTGATATTCGAACGGTGAAAGAAAACATCGCGAGGAAACTGGCTTGGCTTGGTTTTGGTATGTTGTAGTATTGGGAATATGAAACATAAGGCCCTATCCCAGCACGAATTGCTGTGTCAGTGTCTCGGGGTGGACTGCGATGCGCAGTAGAGAGCTGGAGCACTGAGGCGCGCCGGCCCGTAGTTATGTAAAACATTAAATTAATCGTGTATTTATATTTCAAAATGGATACATAACCTACCCAACTCCACCATATATTTTTTCAATTCACCCACTTCAAGAAACGATGACGAAAAATGGAAAGAAACAATGTACTTTTTTGGAGTTTAGCGACCAGATCGGTCCTTAAAAAGTTCAGTCAATTTCATAAAGAAATAACGTACTGTCACGTGGGTAGCTTGAATTATAAGAATTATGAGTCAATACTAAAGTAAAACAGAAATATTCCCATATTAACATCTCATACCAATTACCACTTCAGTAACTAAGTGGCCCATGTGAGAAACCTTGCACTAAATCAATCATGAAACTGAACAGTTCCCCTAAAATTATTTTAATTACGTATAATTGTGAACATAAACATGACGCAAGACATTGGAACACTTTTGTAATTAACATTGGTATTCACTTATTTTAATCCAATAGTCAAATTAAAAAATCATTTATTAATTTAGGTAACACAATGTAGACTTATGAACGTCAAAAAAGAAATACACATTAAATGCTTCTAATTGTACATTTACTGCCAGTTCTCAAATCCAGGGCGTACACAAGAGAAGAACTGGCAATAAAAAGCTTAAGTTCTGGGGATTTAAGTACGGTATGGCAAAGTACGGTTCGGAGACAGTTGACACACAATTTTTAACAATAAATACTAAGCCTTAATTAAAATTATGACTCAACTCAATGAAACGAAAAAATCCACACAATTGTCAGTCGTAGAAGGAAACAATTAACACAGGACCAACGGGAATGGTTAGATTACATATAAAAAATACTTTTCGTTCCTCGATTTAACGAAATACTCACTAAAGCGTCGAAATAGAAATTGGCTTTGGAACATTTAGCTTAATACAATGATACACTCTACATAGCATTACATCCACTCTCAAAAACGACAACAATTGAGTACAGTACGTACTTACATATTATAGGTATCTATAATTCACAACAATCAAATATAAAAATTAATTTTACCCCACAAGTATAGAGTATTTGCAATATTTTTAACCTACATAGTAATAATAATTAAAAATGGATTACAAAACTAAAACAAATTTAAAAAGTTTGCAGACTGTGTACTTTTTATGCTGGAAGCAATTTCTCGATGTATTGCGATACTTATTCGTTGTATAGTGTTTATAGTGTTTATTATGGAACATAAGATACATGTATCACTTATTCCACGTCATTAAATTTGAAGGCATCCCTACTCATCGGCAAAGAAGACAGAGGTTAGGCCGAGAGAAAAAGCCGGGTAAAAAACTCTCGGTACTCTTTTAAAACAGCAAATATCAAACAACACTTATTTAAAACAAATATCGCAAATTGATTAGAAGAGCGTCTGACAGTCCCAGGCCCTTTTATCAACTAGATAATCGTTGACTTTATAGTAAGCCTTTTACACAGCTTTTCTTTAATAATTTCTTAAATTTATTGAGGCAGTGATAAAAGAGCCTCTGGGATTTTATTAAAGAAGAGTATCCCTTTCCCCAAAAAAAACTAACTTTGTAGTCTAGTACGGGGAAATTGCAGCCTGCGTTTGTTCCGTGTATTAACATTGTGCGTATGTTCTATTCTAGTAACTTATCACTATTTTTGTAAATACATAATATTTTCATATATATTGCGAGGGAAAGGTAAGTATATTAATTTCCTTGAATTTATCTCTAGAGATTCCCTACATTTTAATTATGATTCAGAATAGCCCTCTTTGAGGAGAAAATAGTTTCGACATAGCAGCATGACCCCATAATAAGCCATAAGTCATTGCTATGAAAGTAACTAAAATAAACAAGTCTAGCTGTATCGACATCAGTTATGAGCGAATTTTTTTAACCGCGTAGGCTGCAGAACTAAGTCTCTTCGCCAATCCGTTAATATGAGGGACCACTGAAGTTTTGAATCCATGGTGATTCCGAGAACAGTTGTATCATCCAGATTCAATTCCTCACCGTTTGGGATCCATAACCCTTGCATTTTTTGTCACAAAATTTAATGATTTTGTCTTCTTCGTTGAGCGAGGAAAGCACCAGCTCTGGTCACCTGTACTAGTACCAGGCGTCAACTTACATCTTTAAATAGATGTGCACACACATGTGTACAATGTGTGTGAACCCCACGGCCCAAGAGTCTCTACTCTAAAGGGAACAAAATCAAAGTTGGAGGAAGGATTCTTATATCGAAACAATCCAAAAGCTACTCAAGTTTTAAAAATTGTATGTATTACGAATAAGTCATATAAACTTGCCACGTCAATGAAAATAAATAAGCACACCTAGTTATCGGTAAGTGGCGCCGCGGGCAGAGTCTAACTAATTATGGGATTTGTAATGTTTATTTCTCTCACATATTTTAATACCGATTTTGCAACAGGTCAAAGATTATTTAACATTACATTTGCCTTGAGATATAGTAACAAACTAAAAATACAACAAACAACAGAAGTTTTTGTCGCACCACCACTAAGTGGAACCAGCTGCCCACTGAAGTATTTCCGTGATTTATAAACACAAATATTTTCGGGAAAATGTTGCAATTTCTCAACAGAGTCCATATCTGATAAAGGTTGTTAATATATATAAAGCACAAATATAAAAAGTGTGTGTCCTACTTATGTACACGCGTTAGAAGTTATACTTCTTTGGCGTAACAAAATAAAAATCTTTTCAAAAATTGTATTCTACGTTTGTAGAAAAATCGACACTAACAATAGAAAGAATTTACTCTCATCATTTTTCCCTAAAGCGTCAAAAGAAGTACAACTTCAAAAAAAAAACTAAAATGTTGGCTATAACTAACTTCAGGGTGTCGGATTTTTGTGACGGTGTGCGCAGCGTAAAAATTTACTCTGATCATTTTTCCCTAACGCGCCAAAATAAGTATAACTTCAACATGCAACGACCGAATTACATGCAGCAAATTTGCAGCTAGAATTAAAGTGGTTCTTCCAATTCGGGAGCTGTACACGTAAATGTCAAATCTAAGCCCACCTCGCGTGTCACAATAAATATAAAGTTAATATCTAGGACATCATTATTCGCACGTCCGCGGCACGCCATTATGAACACGAATTGTAAAACAAAACGTAAGATTGCGTGTCTGTATTCTTTGACCCTACGCCCCGAGGCGACCACGACTTGAAAGCTTTGGACCAGTTTATAACCATATTTATAGATATGCAGATTAGAGAGGTAGAAATATGATTTCGATAATGTAGACTAGAACATAAACTGAAGTTGGTGTTGAAGGTAAATTGTATACAATTAATCTTAGGAGTTGCTTAAATTTGTCTCTTCGGACTAGCGATATTCAGTTATTATTTTTATTACTAATTTTTATCAAAAACAATTAAAATCAATAAAAATTAAATTAAAACAAATTTCAAAAGTTTGGTCCCTGTGTGTGTGTTTGTGTATAACTATGTAGGTTAAGAAAATTGTAAATATTGATGTTTAGATTTTAATAAACGATTATTATCAAAAGATATTTAAATGTATAGGGCCATATCCCAAAATGTATTGGTACTCGAGGCAGATTACTGCGTCTCTTTAAATCTTATCGTTACCTAACGATGTTTTGAGTAGAATTATTCGACAAACGCTCGATTTAATAGAGGCTCTTAAACACTAGACCTACAAACTCTTAACAATCGTATAAAAAAAAAATAAAAATAATCAGTGGCGCTACAACTTTTTTTAGGTTCGGACCTCAGATTTATGTATCTGTTTCATGATCATTTGTCAATCTAATAGACAAGTAGGTGATCAGCCTTTAGTACCTGACGCACGCCGTCGACTTTTTGGGTCTAAGGCAAGCTGATTTCCCCACGATGTTTTCCTTCACCGTTCGAGCAAATGTTAAATGCGCTTTTAGAAAGAAAATCTATTGGTGCACAGCCGGTAATCGAACCTACGACCTCAGAAATGAGAGACGCACGCTGAAGCCACTTGGCCAATACTGCTTACAATTTTAACAATCGTATACCTACGCATGTAAAAAATATTCCATATCAAAACAATTACTTAGTTTGGCCATGTGTCTCAAAATAGTATAACCTAATTTATTATTATAATTTTCAGGTCCTTTTATTGGAAATATACCTCATAAGTAAAACAAATTAATCTCTGTTAACAACAAGCTTATAAGGCGACAGGTAATCTACTCTGATCTATGTATGGAAATATGTAATTACAAGGTGACACAATTTCTTGTACGCAACAAATTTAGCAATAAAAACTTACTCGTGTAAACAAAATAAGAATAATTGACAACTACGCATTTCGCAACAGATACAATTTAAAGAAAAAACTGTTTAACCGGATTGAAGTTATGTATTATTATAAATTTACAACTATTTAACATAATTTTAAATTTATCCGACGTTTCGCGTGCTTTACAGCGTGCGTGGTCACGGTGAATATTGTTTTTACATTTAATGAATTAAAGGACTCTTAAAAAGCGACTAGGGACACAATTAAGTTTAATATTGTACAAGATAGATACGTAATCAACAGAAAGACATTAAAGAAATCACAATGAATGGGACCCGAAAAAGAAGAGTGGTAAGGCCAAAAAGAAGATGGGCTGCTGATATAAATAGCAGGAAAAGACTAGCAGACTATTGGCAAAGATAGCTTTATTATTATTAACTAAACAATGGTAATTTATATGAGGAGATGGTATTCAAAGAGAGAGCTTTTCATCTATTTATATTATAAAGAAAGCTTTACTTACCCGAAGGACAATCACACTCATATCTTAGTTGATCCAATGGCGTGCATCTTCCTCCGTGCAGGCATGGTGACGGTTCACAAGGAACGTATTCAGCATCACAGTCCCTCCCCGTATACCCCGGCTCACAAACACAGGTATACGACCCGTGGGTGTTGAAGCATCGCCCATGGTGACAGGGACCAGAGCCGCTTGAACATTCGACGACGTCTTCAGTACATCGCGAGCCGGTGAAGCCAGGAGGACAGACGCAAGAGTACCCAGCCGCCGTTGTATTGTCAGCAACGCAACGGCCTCCGTTTCGACAGGGTTGCGATGCACAGTGGTCTTCGTGGGAGCACTCTTCACCTGAAAATGTAGGGGATTGAATATTTCGTATTTATGATATTGATTTCACATTTAGAATTATCGGTTTTGTGCAGTTTAAATATATATTAGAATTTCTGTAATTGCTATAACTTAGTCGTTCCTATGTCAAATAATTAAAAAGTTATTTCAAAAAAGACTATTGAATGTGCATGTTTGGTTTCATGTCTGCTATAAAAAATACATATATATATGTTAATCATCCCTCACTTTTTGTAAGTCACATATAACTAAATCAATATCAAAATAATCAATCTCAAGTATTTTTATTTCACGCGGTTGTTTATGGGATGGGATACAAACAAAAGGCAAGATCGTGTGTTTCTGTTTATACAGTTCACATAATCAGCAATTTAAATTAATTGACGTAGGTACCTGGGTGATTTTTTTGATAATAAATATATCTTAATTGTACCATTAATTTTCATATAAATAAGTTATTGAGAGCGCTAAAGTCATACAATCTGTGGGCGTTATTTTTTTTATTTAACACGTATGAAATATATTTGTAATTATATTATCCTATAAATATACTATTTTTATACCAAAATGGACAGATGTTTCGCCACAATCCAACCCGATGTTAAGTGAGGTGCGGCCTATAAGAGGGCACGCCTCACCAGGAGTTGCCTATTTATATTATAACCGCCGCTGAAATTAACCTATATTGTACTGTGTGACAAGGAGTTCCTGAATATATCTGTGGCGCTACAACCGTAAACCCTGGGCCTCAGATTTCTGATGATGTTTCATGGTCGTTTGTCAATCTAAGAAGAAGAAGATCAAGAAGGTGATAAGCCTTCTGTGCCTGACACACGCCGTCGACTTTTTGGGTATAAGGCAAGCTGATTTTCCCACGATGTTTTCCTTCACCGCTCGAGCGAATGTTAAATGCGCACATAGAAATTCCATTGGTGCACAGCCGGGGATCGAAACCTAACAATGGTCAAAATGGTCTCACATCCTATAATTTACCTGTACGTCTAGTCTAGACAGTAGTGTTATTTTAAAAATAAACCTTTGTTTAACGGACAGTCGAGATTCGAAAAATCTTTTTTTTTTATAATTAATTCGTCATGTTTTATTTACTATACAGTAAGACCAAAGTTGACACTTACAATACTTTTCCCATCCTCTGTACCAACCTTTACAGGTTAAAAGGCTTTTATGTAATTAACTTTAGTTAAAAAAATGTTTTTTATTTGATATTTATTCAAAGACGAAAGGCGACCACATAGGTCTCACATAACGTATCAGTTCACACAATTTACAATTCAAATACATATGCAAGTCAATTTTAAATTGTTGCATAAAATTTCCTTATAATTTTGAATCGAATAATTATTAACTGATACATACTGATATTTTATACGAAGGTCCTATATATTTGTAATCAAAACTGATTAAAAAAGGGATTTTAAATTCAAAATGGAGTTGTTTCCGTCAAAAGTGTATTTTGGAGTGACTTCTAGTTTGAGCCAAGTTTTTATTCTAAGACCCCTCCGTCCGGGAGATGGCATCCTACAACTTTTTCCATCTTATTTTATTTTTTGCTGTCATCATCAAATTTTTGCTAGCTGCCCTTTCAATCTCGTCAGCCTATCACTCTGTTGACCTGCCCTTGAATTCTTTGTCCTTTTTGACCATCCATCTCTATAACGGACAACGTGCCCTGTCCATCTCCATTTGAGTTGTAGGCATGTTGCACAGCATCCATTTTTATCCCGGGATAACTTAACTTAATCTATTTGTCACTTAGTTAAATTTCAAAAATATTTATTTATACCCCACGTTGGAAGAAACGTAAAACGTAACGTTGGCTTTCGTTTTATTTTGGGAAATCCAAGTTTGTTAGTTTTATTTAATTCCATTACAAATCAAGACAGTTAATAATCTCTGGAATACCATACAAAATAAAAATGGAAAATCATAATGCGAATGAACGAAATCGATAAAACAATCGTTGGACTAGGGATTATAAATATCCATTCAACTTAATCATAATATAAAAGAAAGTTTATCGACAAAATGTCAACTGGATGATTAGAAATGATATCCATTAAAGGCAATCGAATCTGTCATTGGCTGGATTAATGACCAAATGAAAGTACGGAAATTAGTGTCAAATTAATGGTAAATTACTACGTTTAATGATACTGTTTATGAGGATAATGATGGAAAAAATTAAAAGCTTGATTTGTCAGAAAGAATCATTGTTAGATTGTAGCGTGTTTAGTGTGTGTGTTATGATTTTATCCTAAAAATACATAAGTAAAAAAATTTAGAAGTAGATTTACTTGTTAACAAGGTACAAACCGTGCCTGGAACGGTTCTGCGATAAAATAGAGGCGAACAAGAACGCGTTTCGTAAGCAATTGCGCCCCGGCTCACTGATTATTGTAAATAATAATGGCTAAAAGGATTTTATATATCTTTATAGTAAGAGAATATAAGAGATGGAATAAAGTGCCTGGACACTATGGCAGAGGAAAAGAAGTTGATAAAAAAACTTCTAAAGACTATGATAGCACAAAAACAAGATGCAAGAAAAGTTTGCTCTTCTCTACCAAAACGTCAAAATAAATTAATGAAATTGAGATTGATATCAATGCGAGCACTGAATTCGTCATCATTAAATTGGCATGAGTAACCAGACAAATATGGGGCACAGACTATATTCAGTTGTGTATAATAAACGCAAGAAATAAAATCATACGAACCAGAGATTTTTTTTACTTAAAAACATGTTAATTCATCATATATTTTTTATGGTTGCTCGTTTTATTTTTTCCGTTGCTAGCATGCTTATGTTCTTATATAATTGATGTGATTGTTATGTCATATTTTCTTGTATAATTTTAGACATACACGTTGTTTAAGAACTTATAAATAAATAAATCTCAGAGCTAACTAAACACATTAAACCCAAATTTAATATGTGTTAATTTAGTTCCTACATTATAAAAGTTGCTACTATATATTTTATTAAATAAAGTCTGAAAGTTAGTTACAATCAAAATAACAAACATAGACTATGTTTACTAGAAAATTTATAAACATATGTGTTATTTATAAATCAGTCTAATAATTTAAAAGCTTTTAAATTTAAAAGTAAGTACAAATAAAAGTTGTTACTCTTCGTATTTATAACTTAACGTGTCTGTGATCAAAAGCCCTAACCGAGACGTCCATTTGCTGCCTCCACACTGCTATATACTTAACTAGCATCAGAGCATTATGGATGGGTAGGCGATCGACCCAGACTTCGTATTTACTTCGACTAGGTATTTAGAGTCACTGAGTGATCACGAAACGTATTACAATTGGGTATAGAAAAACGTTATGGCGCGTTAGATGGGGGGAGTCAAGATTCACCAAAAATTGCGTGACGTAATACTTGAACGCTCTCTATGGCCAAAGTAGCTAAGCACCCGTAACATTCTGTCAGCCGAGTGTAATTCCTCTTGTCCTACTGTGACAATCGCACTGTGCTCAATTAGTGGTACGCAGCTTCAATGTTTGTGCAAGTCTGTCTGATTGCATTAATTGATAAGCAAATATATTAGCCGAGGAATGTGTTAAGTGTACAACGCGTAACCCTAATTTTTGTAGGCATTTGCTGGACGTATTTTGTTTGAACTCAGGTTTATGGTGCGTATTGCGTTACTGGCTGTTCCAGATATCACTTTAGTATTTCAAGAGCGTAGGCGTGTCGTGAATTAATTTATGAAGTTAGTTCTTTTGGCGCGTTATGGAAAAATGATGAGAGTAAATTTTTACGATGCACGCGCACACCGTCACAAAAATAGTCAACATTTTAGTTTTTTCTATTGATAGTGTCGTTTTTTCTATAAACGTAGAAGAAATTTTTTGAAAAAATTTTTTATCTTGTTACGCCAAAGTATAACTTCTAACGCGTGTACATACACACACATTTATAGAACGTGGGGCAAACTGGCAGGAGGTTGTGATGCACCACAATACTCACAATTCCAGAAGGCTCGTTGCGTTGTCGGCCTTTAAACTATTTTAACGCATGGGGCTATGTAATCTTAGAACTATAGCCTCTCGAATACTAAGCGTGAACGGACGAAACCCAATAAAATGGAAAACAGTTTTGTTTTGATTGTGTCCATTTTGCCTAGAGTCGAACTTAAGCCGTACTAAACGCATACAATGTTAATTTTTAAGTTAACTCAAGTCCATGTAGTAAGAATAATAATCGTATCTTGATACTAAATGTCATTAAAATCAGTTCAGCAATAAGCTTAGTTTTAAATCGAAAAAACTAAAATATTACAGAATAATACAATTTTGTCTTAAATTAATCTTATGTCTTATTGAGATTATAAGTTGTATTAACTTATCCGATTTAAGCGAGAATTGAGGACGTAAAATAATGTCATTAAGTAAATTTACACAAATATTCTAACTATAATATTTTAATCACACTTAAGTTTCATTAAGTATGTAATTAAATTAATTCCACTATAAACCGGGATTATAGAAACGTAAATTTAATTATTTTTATAAAATTTAAAATTAAAGTTTCGAATGTAGTGTTAGCCAGTTAAATAAGTAAACTAATACCATACGTAATTTTATATTTTCCTTCACCGTTCAAGAGGTTACTGCCACAAAAAGTTCAGAATACTACGATCCATGAAGAGTCGATACTGAAGTCATTAGGCCAACACTGCTAGTTCATTTTTTCTACAGATTAATAAATGAAACTAGTATTACAATTGTTACTTTGAATAATACATCTTTAAAATTAGTATAGACATTTTTATTGATTACTTAAAAAAAGAAGGCTTTCAGGCTTCTGGCTGTGATAGTTACGGAAGCGGTTTCTAGTAATTCAAAATTATTTCGATTTTGCCCAGGTCATATGAAACCAGTTGGATGCCCCCATGCCTTCAATTAATCTTTATAAGACAAGATAATAGCATTCTCATAGATATTGTTCGGCCTATCACTTATAAGCTTATTTACGGAGATTTTTCATCTATATCCATTTCTATCTATATCCTTATTATATACTTAAAGAGATCTTTGTATGAAATTAAAGAAATCCTGAATCAAAATTCTTCATTAAGCCTAATTAGCGCAGTGTTAGTGGTTGCAGCGTGCAACTCACTGAGGTCGAAGATTCGATGCCCGGCTGTACCAATGGTCTTTTATGTGCGTATTCAACACGTGCTCGTACAAAGATGAAAACATCGCGAGGAAGGCATGCTTTAGACCCAAAACGTTTGACGGCGTGGGTCTATTGTCTATTAAGAAAAATAAATCATCACGGTACGGAAACAGAAATCTAGCAATCTAACAGAAGCTTTGTCGTTAGAAGGTTGTAGCGCCCATAGTTTTTTAAAGCCCGATTAGCATTACCTATTTATTTCCATTATTTTTTAAAAGTACATGAAGCCGCTGGCAATTTCATAAATTTATGTATTTTGCGAAATCTTATCAATCTTGCTTAATCAAAATGATAACCGTATAAGGCACTGCTCCAAAAAACAGCTCCAGTTTCATCGATAAAATCGGAAGGGTGAGAAACTTTTAAAAGGAGATAAGCATAATTTAAAACCAATTTATAAAATTGAGTAATAATAATTAGTGAACTTAAGATTTTCTTAACGCTTTTGCAGTTCTACAATGCTGCTCTATTGAAAAAAATATTTTTTTAAAGGAAATCGAACTCTGGACCTGGTTCCATAAGCTAGTCGGACACGAGTTACTTTCAGTCAAGTTTTTTTTTAAATAATTTAAGCTGTGTGATATAGTAATAATATTTCTCAAACTATTTAAACTTTTAGCGGAAGTTACATAAATAATTGAATGTGCATTACAACATTGTTTTATGTACTAATAAATGTAATGACGATGAATGAAACAATATCAATGGTATGAATCAGGATATAGTTAATGAATCATTGTACAAAGACGTATTTATTGTAATACTACACTTGGAATAAATGAAGGTGATAAAATTTATCAGAAATATGTTTAATGAAGAGCTAACTAATTCGTATCTAAAGTCAAAATCTCGTGTTTGTGCAATATCACAAACTTAAAACATAAAAACCGGTTGAACTTTTGAAACAAGATTCAAATTTGATAAACGTTCTAACACTGGTAAATCATAATATTATAAATATTGGAAGACTTTAAGGTCCTACCAATAAGTAATAAATAGCTAATTTGGAACTTATGTAGAACTTATCCATACATTGTGAAACAGACCCTAAGTGAAAATGATTTTTCAAAAGATAAACATTGCCAATGAAAGATATACTTGTACCACTAACGTTTTTCTCTTCCGTTCTACGCCCTTGATTTGAGAACTGAACTGGCAGTAAATGTAAAATAAGAAACATTTAATATGTATTTCTTTTTAGACGTTCATAAGTGTACATTGTGTTACCTATATGAATAAATAATTTAGATTTGATTTGTATATAAGTTATCCTTAAGAACAAGTGACGTGATACTTGAATAATTTCATGTCTTACCGGTATACCCAGGCGGGCAATCACACTCATAGCTATGCAGTGAAGTCAGTCGACACGTTGCTCCATTCAGACAAGGCGCTGAATCACACGCTGCTGGTACGCGAATCTCACACAAAGACGCACTGAACCCCAAGGGACAATCGCAGGCGAACGATGGAGGACCACCGCTAGCCCCAGGTCTCACTCTGCAAGAGCCCCCATTTTGACAACGAGGACTTGACTCGCTGTGACAAGGGTTCAAATGCTGGCAAAATTCACCCGCGTATCTTGATGTGCAACTGAAACAAATGAAATTAGATTAGAATTTGCTGAAAACATCACAGAGTCAATCTGAGATTTATCCGATGAATTATATAATATTGGAAAAGAAAGGAACCAAAATATTGAACCTTGAAGTACACCATCCGTTACATCGCTATGTATAGGTACGATAGATCACACATACTTTGTTCTCGATAAAACATGTAAAAAACTGTTTTACATATTTCTAACCATAAAAGTGCCTATACCAATAAAGCCGAGAGCCATATATTGAATAAATGCAATTTAATCTAAAGGCTTATTAAAGTCCGCTACCAATGTACTAGCTGTAGGTAGGCGAACACTATCGCGGCCGGACGTCGCCAATAAATAACGCAGATACGTACAACACGACCATGTGACATGCGCCCGCGCACCTTTGTATAGTTGCTTTACTGGGATTTTTACGTGCTTATTTATGGGTTAGGTAATTAAAGATGAGGGAGACCGGGAGTTGAACATTTCCATTATATTGAGATTTACGGCTACTGAGTTACCGTCTTACCTATCTTTACTGCTGATTAAAATGTGGTTTGTAGAAATTTTAAATTAATCGTATTTATTAAACAAATTGCCTATTATAAGTTTAATATTTAGTCAAAAAAAAAAATGCTTAAACGTTCAACAATGCAAGAGAACACGACAAACTTCATAGCGAAGTATAAATCGTACACGTCTTCAAATTTATCACTGATTCATATGTCAGACAGGGCATACATACATCCATCTCTTTTTGACATCACAAGAATGAATGCGACTGAAGAGAAATGTATGAAAGTAGACGTGTTGTTCCGTTTGTTTAGGTATCACGTCCTCATATTTCTTTGTACTTAGAATTAATTGGCGTTAAGAAATATTAGGTGCATGATACTCAGAAATTCAACCACCACGAACTAGCTGATCAACGTTGTTTGATTCCATTACGACCATTACGAAAAACTAATCAGCATTGTATGTTTGATTAAACAGTCATAATTCTTCTAGCTTTAATTGACATATATTTAAAACCTTATGTTAGTACAGAAAAATCAAACACGGCACATACTCGTATATTGCGGAAACTTCTAAAGTCAATATAAACTAACCACCGTTGTAAACTTTGGACTAATTATAAATATTGAAATTTCTAAAATGCCTTAAAATATCAGAGTATCAAATAACCGTGTCCCATAATCAAGTTCGGTGTTAATTGCCTTGTAAATGTTCTTAGACATAAATGTTTTATCATTAATGAATTTAATGTAATTCTCTCGCCTACGAGATATTTAGAAACCGTTGTCAATCTCATTTCCTTTTGCCCTTTAATCTCTGTCTCCAGACGATTTCTGGCGAAATGATAATTATATTCTTATGTTTCTACTGGGGAATAACTACTCGTCTAGAATTGTGTGCCAAAAAGATACACTAAACCAAGATTAATGTATGCCGTAGTGGTGAATCAAAAATATAATAACTTTAATATAATTGTTCCCATTATGAAAACTAACGGAAGCTGCGGTGTGCTTTTAATTTAAAAAAGATTTTTCCTTAATGGCGTTGTGGTGATTAATTAGATTAGATTTTCCTCATGTCATATTTCCCGTAGCTAAATACGTATTCCTGAAACTATTTAAAAAATATGCATCACAATTATGTTTAGTACCGTCAGCAAACCAGGTAAAAGAATGGATTGTACTGGTGGATTGACTGAAATCATTTATGCCTGCGACGAAAAGCGCCTACAATAATGTAATTCAATAAGCCTATCTAAGAACGAAGAGTTATAAAATTCTTATATAGGAATTGAATACTAAAGATGCTATATGGTCGTTGATACTCGTATCAGCGAAATTCAAATACAATGGTAGCAAGTTCCAAGAAATGCAGACAAAACCTTTCCAACCGAACCTGTATTTTGAGGCGTGGGCGGCGCACGAATACACCCACACTTTGACCTCGCATTGAGGGTGCTTGCACTGTGCGTTATGCCTATAATAAACCCCCGTGTGAATCTTGATAGTCTATTATTCTAGATAAAGAGCTTTATCGATAAGTCAGTATTACACAGCAAAACAAAAGCGGAGTCACATATAAATATTGTTTTTAAAGAACTGAACATTTACAGAAACACGGCGAAGATTCTTGCCAGTTCTGTTGGTCCCAACAGTAAATGTAAACATTGTTTTTGCCTTAATCAGGTACCATCATCTACCGTCTTGTGGAGTATATTATGTGAAGAGTCGCGTAGCATGCCCAAGCTTATGTTAGTTTCTTGGTCACGGTCAATAATGTCAAATTCTGTAAACATATTTGTTTACAGAATTTGACAGATTGACAGATTTTCATACCAGATTCCAATTTGATTTACCCTTTAGTATTCACACACACAATCATTAATTTAATTGTTCCCACTAATGTAAGAACGAAACTTGATATAAAAGATAACGATAAACAAAAGCGCTTGAAGAGTAATCATATAGCAAACAAAAAGAATGTAATTGCTGGACGCAAAAAAATGACACTGGCTACCTGAGAGCCGATTATCTGGCGACCAGCTTTTGTTACAGAAAATAACGAGCGCTAAATCTTCATTATGGCAAAGTATATAAATTTACTTTATCGATGATCTAATTGGATCGAAAATAGATTAGCAGACTGAGTTATGAAATTTGATATAATCTCTGAAAGCTTTCATTTTTAGAACTATTTTATTCAAGTGGGAAAATGTTTTCAACGAAGCCTTTAGCCTCTATAGCAATGTAAAATATGCTATGGGCTTTTAATTTTTGTGATTTTAATTTAGTTTCCTGTTCTCTTTAAGGAAATTTCAACAAAAAAACTTAGTAACAACACAACAGATAGATTTAAAACAAGAAATAAAAAAATTCTAAATTAATCACAGAAGATTGCTAGAAAAGAGAAGTGTAGAAATTTTGAGGGTAATATTGAGAATATAAAGAAGGCGACCTTCTTTATGAGGGATACCGGTTGGAAGCAGTGCCAGTCAAAGACGGTTGCGCATTCAGATGGCTGCATAAGGTTCTTTTCAGTATATAGATGAGCTGAACAATGATGAAGAAGATAATAGACACGTAAAAGACAAAAATCTTTAAACCTGAAAAGTATCACTCCATGCCAAAATCGATTGGAGATTTTTTGGTTATGTGTTGTGAAAGATATCTAACAACGTTTCTAGGTCCAAGATACCGTGTTTAGCATGTACCTTTCAAGGTTGCAATAACTTATGGGTCGGAGATCCTGTCGTGGCGGGCGAGCACAATAAATACTGCGTGTAACTGTTCGGTCATACGATATTGTTCGTGAACTTTTGCAACTTTGCCCTTATGTGTTCAATTTGCTAGGTCCCGAAGTAACAGAAATACTAGCTAAAATCAGTGAAGAACGTCTCATATAGACAGGAATTACTTTAAAAAAATATTACGTAACTAATTGAAACAGTATTTTTTTACAAATATTAAAGAAAATATTGGCTTTGGTGTGCCAAATATATGTGGATTCTTAGAAGGCCTATCTGATGCGCATGTATGTTAGTATGCGCTCGCGCAGGCCCGCGTGGATTATCGTGCCATCGGCTTTATTGGTCAATTAACATGTTAGTGATAACTATGTTATTTAATAGTTACATTTTAAATTATTATTTCTCCAAAAAATAAACTCTTTAGGTACTTCATGTTTTCATATAGCCGTTATATTTATGAACAATTATTATTATTATTCTTAGTTGCTTGAAGGACCGCGATGGGGTATGGAGACAATACTGTTTCTTTGCCTATTTAAGGACAGGCCTTTACTAACTAACCGGCTTAAGGGGTCACCCTTAAACCAGAATTTAAAACATGTTCCTATTATAAATATAATAGTCTTTTCTAGGTTTTACTAGACGTAAACTATAGGTTATATTGAATTCAATTCGGAACTATTTTTAATATAAATTTCATCTTTCCTTTGCGTGAACTGCACCATTTTGTTTGTGTAAAACGTATTTATATACTTTTTTTGCCATGTCTCCGTCATGAATGTAATAAAAGCGTAAATAAACGGTCCACCGGGAAACGGTAAGACAAAAACGGCTAACCGACCGTTAGGAAGATGCAGAAAAATTTTAATCCCAGTTTTTCTCCCTAGACTAGTTCCTGTGGTCATTAGTCGAATATGGGCGTACAGTTACGTCGTATAAGGAAGTGTGGACAAATTGATGAGTTTTATTTCTTAAAGGGATGATATTTTGATGCTTCACAGTACTAACATCTGGAACAATATATTTTCGAGATGGTATTTCTTGTATCTTCTCTATGTCCTTTAAGTACCATTCCATAAACCTCTCTCTGATCGATCGATATTGATCTCCCTGCTCCCTGCTCCAACACCCAGGGGTCAGAGACCCTATTGGTTCACCGTGTATTCAAGTATATTGGTATGGTCTTCCCGTAATTATCTATGTATTTATCATCATATAGTAATTACTAGAGCAGTGTTAGTGGCTTCAGCGTTCGATTCTCATCCCTGAAGTCGTAAGTTCGATCCCTGTCTGTGCACCAATGGACTTTCTATGTGCGCATTTAACATTCGAAGTAAAACGTCGTGAGGAAACCGGTTTGCCATAGATATAAAAAGTCGGCATGTGCCAGGCACAGCACCTACCTATTAGATTGACATCATTAGACAGACACAGAAATATGAGGTCCAGAACTGAGGCTGTAGCGCCACTGATTTATTTATATTAATTACTTAAAGATTCTTATGAAATTTTCAGTCACCTCTTATCAGTTATTTGAGCCAATATAGAACGTTGATTTTGACTTAAAAGTTTCTATAGATTTGCGTCAACTCTTCAAACATTATATTTCGCTTCTTTCCAAGCGCCATAATCGCCAGCTGAATTACGACCGGCTACTGTAAGTGTTTATGGCCTCATCAATTTGCAAATCCCATTGCTTTTATATTTACTGTCTTCTGTATGAACAATGAGAACATTTCTATATAATATGTGTTTATAAATTGTTAGTGTATGTAAAGGCTGGGGTTTAGATTTCTGTATCTGTTTCATGATCATTTATCTAATAGACACACGCCGTCAACTTTTTGGGTCTAAGGCAAGCCGGTTTTCGCACGATGTTTTCCTTCACCGTTTAACTGCGCACATAAAATCCTTGGTACACAGCCGGGGATCGAATCTACGACTTTAGGAAAGAGAGTCGCACGCTGAAGCCACTAGGCCAACACTTCTCTTATGTTATATCGATTCTTAGCGTCAAGTCTTAAAGCAAATTAGATAACTAGTATGCTACATATACGTATAATGCTAAGTTAAAAGTAGAATATCGCGCGCGTTGTTAGCGTAACAAAATGTAATTGAAA